TTCAATCTTGCACAGACCACATCCACTGCCTTATCAACAGGAACGCACGTGAAGAGCGACGTAACATCAAAAGAGACCATAGTTTCATCCGTCTCCATGATGACATCCCTCACCTTGTCCACAAAGTCCATAGTGTTCTGTATGTGATGTTCTGAGCTGCCAACTAAAGGACCAAGTATAGACAGCACACTATTCTAAATTGAGCCACATGTTTTGATGTATAATTTGCATGTTTTGTTTTAAAGCTGTATGAAAAGATACATGATACAGGGTATTCATAAGGGTGCTTCAATTCTTATGCACCAGCTCCCTAATAATTCACATCACAGTGATCAATTACATCGCCATTTGTATCATATTTGCTACGCAGGATTCTGTGACCTATATTTTATCAATGTGATCCATTTTTTCCCTCAAAAATCTGTTGTATACTTTATAATGTGAGACCTGTGTTCTGCCCTCTAGTGGACTAACAATGTACTGCAGGAAGTGGAACTTTTTTTTTTTGCCTTTTCAAAATGTCTGCTGACATGAGGTCATCCACACATTTTTTTTTCAGGAAAACTTTTGCTAATTTTAGAGAGGTTACGGTAAAAATAACATCAATATTGTTTGTAATTCTTTAATAAATACTTTCTGTGTTGAAACAATGCATAATTACTTAAAAAATATTTTTAATAGTACAGTTAAACCTTGTTAAAAATTTGTGTATCAAACTCGATACTGCAGGTAAATAAGGTTCTCCAGTCCTGAAAATTCATGTGACATTTTAGTAATTTTAGTAATTTGGTCAACAGTATTCTTGCCACAATACAATACACTATTTTGGATGATTGATTAATTACTGAAATACCATTTGAAAACACATTTAGGCTACTTTCAAAGTGTTTTCCTTTGAAATTATAAGCTCTACGCTGTACTGATTAATTATTTACCTGTTGGATGTCAAAGAAAATTGAGGAAGAAGAGAGAAAAAAGAAAGCAAGAAAATGTCATCAATTTTATAACAGCAATTTTTTATAAAGTGTAAGGTACATCTGTGCCTGAAAAAGGACAGAAACTGTATTTGTGCCTACCACCAAGTGAAATAAATGGCTGTAAAAAGTTCATTGTAAAACAAACAAAGAAGTAAACTTCCTAGAGTGTTCTAAACTTATTAAAAGTTAAAGCAAAACTGTCTTTTGTTTCTTAATTTAACTTTGTTGTGAGCGAAATGTTACCAAAACAGACCAGTGTATCAGATTTGATACAAAAAATATATATCATAAACAAAGTGATGTGGCAAAAAAATGGATTTTGTTTAAAGGCCCAATAAACATCAGTTCAAAAAAATTGGAATTTTCTGACTATTTTTTAAAAGGTTATAGGCTTTAAAGTGTTAACACCTTATATTTGTTTGTGTAAAGCTGAATTTACTACTATTACCTGTTATGATGTTGTCCAGAAGAGTGGTTGGCATGCAGAAAATACCAACCAGCAGGTCACTGATGGCAAGATTGAGAATAAACAAATTGGTGACAGTTCGCATGTTCCTGCTGCGAAGCACAATGAAACACACCACCCCGTTCCCCACCATGCACACCACGAAGATGAGCAGGTAGGACACGGTGAAGACGGCAGCCACGCTGGGTTTGTGCAGGTAGAAGTCCACGTAGGTGATGTTCTGGCGGGTCCAAACATCATCATGTGGCACCGAGAAGCTGGAGAGGTTCAGGTCCTCCGAGGTGGAATTAAAAGCTAGATTCTCAGTCATCATGAGAGCTGGGCGTAAGAGAGACAAAATAGATGGAGACAGGTGGCTTTGTTATACACTGAAAAAAAGGATTTTTGGGTATAGTAACATTTATTTAATTATTATTTTAAATTTCACAAAAAAATCAAAATCTCTAAACTACTGGAATTTACTAAATAAACAATACACATTATATTATATATCAGTATTACTGTACAAAAAAATTAAATGCTAATATTATTTTACCAGTAATATTGAAGTGTTTTTTCTGGACAGCACATAAACATGAATATATGAAGTAACTTCAACTCTTCTGGACTAAAACTGAGGCTGCATGCACACACAAAGGCTGCTGCTCCTCATTCCCTTGCTTCACTTTTCAAGGAGAGGACAAGACATGGTGGAAATAAAACATAAGTTGTCTGATTTCTTTTGCTTGAATACATTTGTTGGTGTGCAATAGTTTGATGACATTTAGTTGTCAGGGAACAGGGAATGCATATTGTAGCATTCTGCTGTATTTGGCTGTTTGTCATGTGACTGCAGTGGAGGAT